AGTTGTTGGCCGAGTTTAATCGTATCAGGTTTACCCGATTCAGGATTATATATTGTTGATTCACTCATTAATATAATTATGCATGAGGTGCAGTAATTTGATATATTCCACAGCATCCAGTGCTAGCTCGCCGGATCTAATAGTTAGCAATGAATAATATATTGTTGCTACATAGAGAGAATTCGAGAAGCAAAAACAAATCTCGTGGCGCTCTCAGTCTCAACGAAATCTCGGCTGTTATTTGCATCTAATGTACATGTATATTGTTTCAATCCGTAACTGGAGACATATTTACCCAATATTTGCATTTGCGAGCCACTCGTCAGACGACAACGCTGTGTCAAACTCATCTAGTAATCCATGATCTGTGTCTTCATCAACTATTGTTATAGGACTTGACTGTAATTATAAATAGGAGCATTACGATACGAAAAAAAAATACACAAACATATAATAAATCTCGAGAAAATATTTATGCATCATTCCCAATATGTCCCACATCTAATATTTAGACAACATTTATCTTCATTAGTAAGTTATAGTGTACACTTACAGTGTGGTTGGTATCTAGGACGAATAAAAATAATGTGTATTCAACTATCACATTTACTAAACAAGGGTTTCTGATGCATGCATTAATCGTTTATATGGAGTGAATAAACAATTCCTACACAAATTCGTTAAAATAAACAATTCCTACATAAATGCATTATTATGTTTGACATTACCTGTAATAATGCTATATTTCCGTTTTCAATTGCCCATTCGATGTTTAATGGATAACCGAAGGCTGATTCAAGCTGCGAATGTGATTGATATATTATTGATAAATTGTGACACGGTAGGCGATATTCCGACAAATACACAAACTGTAATATTGTGCTGTGGGCGTGTAATATTCGCAAGAGTATACTCACAATAACTGCAATAACACAGAGTTCCAACGATAACTCATCCGTGATACAACTTCTGACACTTTCTACAAGTGCTGCTATCTTCGGGGTCTTCTTGTGTTTAGCTGTGACACACTATACTTATTGAATAACCCCATTTGAGCACATAGCGTAATATATTACTGACAAAATGCATGTTATCGGTACGTGGTTTTAAAAGTCATTAAAGGGATCATTCTTATTGGTCGCTGAATTGTTATTGTAGCATATTCATCACTATTTGAACAGTCCAATATTATATTTGAGAGAGAATGCGAACAATACGTCAATAATTCAATTGTTAATGTGCTTCAATATAGTAAGATATCAAAAGCGATGGCTGATAATATTAAGATATACAAAACATTTCTACTCACATTTAGATTTATGGTGTTTTTTGTATGCAAGTGATGTATTCAATACTGATATTTCATTGTTTCGTTTCCTTGTTAGTATTACAGTGTCTGGTTTTGACAGTCCAGAAACAACGCTCTGGAAAAGAAAACGTTACATTTCTGATCAAAAGAAGACATGGCATTGACATCTTTTGACGTATATATGAATATCGTAGACACGAACATGAAGTATTAGTATCATGTATATTGTACTGCGATATAGGCAACCTAAACATAATATATACTGACAGAAGGCATACCTCTCCAAGTCCATACGATGCATCTATCATCATCTGTCCAGGGTGCCCGGTAATGGGATGGCGTGAATATAACACGCCTACAACACATGAGAAAAAAATAATTAGGATAATGTGATAAATGTTGTTCAGTTCGTTAGATATTGATACAGCGATAGCGATTGGCTAAGGTGTGGGATGGACGATTATACAGCAATGACGATTGGCTAACCAGATCGGTCTGCGATGACTGTATTATATGATGATGAGTTGAAAATCTCAACCAATCTGTTAGTGATTGGAATTTGTTTTCAAGGGCAACCCCACCTGAAGATGTACATATTTATTCGAATCTAAATGATTGACACAAATTTCTCTAGAGCACCTATAATTTTACTAGAAACACACCCACATTTCTACCAAAATATTTGGCCAAAGAAACACATCAGAGTTAACAGTAGTGTTCTTAGTGATTTCAAACCTGAGATCTCTGATTTAACCATTTCTTGTATAACAACACCCATATTGCATTTCAGTGGCTGGCCTCGATTTCTACAGAAAACAACATAATAATAGAGGTATGAATTCACAAATTGGTACAACTTTGGAAAACCTTAGCTAACCTTGGTTGTGTTTGACCGGGTCTGGCTGATGTCAGGATAGCGAATATACTTACTATGATAATAGAAAGATAGGCAGACATAGTGTAAGGTACTGAATATAGTGTTTATGCTAAAATG